ACTGCCCAAGAAGTAAAACTCAGCGGCTACTCGTGCTTCTGCTGTGCTAGATCATCAAATGATCGCGGTGGCCGATTGCAGTATTGAAGGTGTACGCAAGCTACTGGCGAGTCTTGATGGGAGGAAGACTGCCGGGCCAGATGGAATCCACCCACTGATCCTCAAGTCCCTACCGGCCATCATCTCCCCTTCTGTAATTGAGCTGTTCAACTGGTTCTATCCACTGGACTAGTACCAAAAGACTAGAAATCCTCAGTCGTAAAGCCAATACCGAAAGATGGTAACCCAAGCAAAGTGGATGACTACCGGCCGATCTGCCTAACGGCCGTTTTGGCAAAGACGCAAGAGATCGTGAAGAAGAGTCTATTGCAGTTACTCGAGTCAAAAAGCCTCTTGACGCTCACACAGCATGGTTTCATGAACGGTTGCCCGTGCAGCACCAACCTACTGTTGACGAGGCATGAATGGTTGTAAGTGCTGAACCAAGGCAAGTCGGTCGACATCATTTACATTTACTTCAGTAAAGCTTTTGCTAAGGTGAATTATGCAGCGCCCCTCGACAGGCTGTAGGTGTGCGGTATTGGTGGCTCACTGCATCAAGGGATAACGAATTTCCTTATTCGTCGAAAGTGGAGGGTCCATGTGGACAACTATTTGGTTGACTGGTATTCATCAAGCAGTGGCGTGCCCCAATGCACTGTACTGGGGTCGATTTTGTTGCTGTCCCATGTACAAGATGTGCCTTAGTCACTCCGATCACCTTGTGCATTGTTCGCAGATGACTTGTAGGTAAGGAGAGTAATCCGTGCACTCACTGACTGTGATCTGCTTCAGCAGGACCTCGACCACCTTTCCACGTGGTCTGCATTGGTCAACCTTCCACTCAACCCTGTCAAGTCGCAATTCCTGAGATTGGGTAAGTGTGAGCACAGTCAGACCTACACAGTGGCAGGTCAACCGTTGCATCCCGCGCCTTTCGTGTGACACCTCAGTGTATTCTCAAGCCGCGGCCTAAAATCCATGTATGACACCAATAGGTGTTATCAAAACAGCCTTAGTATGCTTTGGGCGGGCAGGTGCAGCTTCTGCACTGGGTCCGAAGAGATTTCCACTCAACTTAATGATACCACCCAATGCTAGAGTATGGCTTTATCATGTATCGTCCTATCATCCGCGGCGAGGTAGAAAATATTGAACGGGTGCAGCATGTAGCCACCAGTCTGATGCTTAATTTTTGAGGTATGCCGTACGAATATCGGGTAAAAACTAAGGCTTTACATCCTAACTTACTTTTGACTGAGGGTTGACCTCATCATGACGCACCAGGTAGTACATTTAAATGATTACCCATGTTGAGGCTGCTGCTACATCTGCACATATCCAGCACATATCCGGTATAAGCTTTTGGTACCAACTCTGTTGCGAACGCAGAGTGGTGAATGTATGGAATGACCTGCCGCAGCACGTAGTTGTGGCAAAGTCGATGTCAGAATTTAAGAAATTCCTAGACAAAAAGTTTGCCGATATAAACTATATTGTCTGTACCCCAACATAACAGGTCTTTGTTCCTGAGTGACATTAGATGCAGCTACACAGAGATAACTCATCTCGAAGCTTCCAACCATTACTCGGTAATCAGCATTATCATCATCGTTCTGAGCATCACCGTCATCATCAGCAAAACCTTTGGCAAAGACCCACACAAACGACTTTTGCGCAAAGTTCAAGGAATCAAAGTCACCGGAAACGTTCTTGCATGGGTTGCGGACTTCTGGAGAGATCGGTCTCTTCAAGTGGAGGTGAATCAAACGCTGTCTGGAGTCTGTAGCGCCCAAAAAGATAATTGCTACCTTTTATGTATTATTTAACTGTAGACAAATTGTACATTATGCTTTCTTGTTTTACTCTTCCCTACAAGGACTTTCGTGTCAGACGAACTTGCTGGTAGCTCGTGAGTGCTGGACTGAAGCCGTAGACAGTGGACATGCGATGGATGTGGTGTTCATTGACTTCGCCAAGGCCTTTGACACTGTCCCACATTCGTGACTCTCACTGAAGTTGAGGTCGTATGGAATAGCTGGTCGCGCTCTCCAGTGGGTGTCAGCTTTTCTGAATGGACGGGAACAGTGTATTCGTGTGGGAAGCAGTCTTTCGTTTCGACAAACTGTGCTTAGCGGCGTTCCGCAAGGCTCTGTCCTAGGTCAGCTGCTGTTTTCTGTCCACGTGAATGACTTGTCGGAGGAGCTTGAGATACCATCGCCCTTATTTTTTGATAACCTAAAGTTCTGGAATATTGTTGATATCCCTGGAGGCCCCGTGGCTCTTCAACGGGCTCTGAATGGACTCTGGGAATGGTCTGTCTTGTGGTTGCTGCCCATAAACCGGGCAAAGTGTTCAGTGCTGCGTATCGGAGCGTCTGCTTCCTCCACAAGTTATGTGCTCGATGGGAGTGAACTTCCTCACGTGACTCATCAGGTCGATATAAGTGTGGTCCACTGTCCCACACTACACTCTGGAGACAACCGGAGGAAGGCGGATAGTCAAGGGTTCCGGATGTTGCGGTTTATCCGTCGTTCTTCTGGGACCCTAACCGCTGATGTGTTTGTGAAGCTCTTCCCAGCGTTCTTACGACCCCACCTAAAATATTGCGTCCAGACCTGTCCGCCATGCCTTGTCCGGGACAAAATAGCACTAGAAAGGGTGTTGTGTGTCGATACTAGGTTGGTCAAGGGATTACGAAGGCAAACGTACCACGAGCGCCTATTTAGTTTGGGGATGCAGTCAATGCGCTATCGAAGGATTAGAGGGGACCTAATCCTAACCTTCCGTATTTTGACTTGGAAGATTGGCCTTGATTTGTCCATGATATTTAGTCCTGCTAGATTATCTAGTCTCCGCGGGCATTGTATGAATCTGGACAAACCGCGGTCCGATCGAGTTAGAGCGGAGACACGGTTATCACGTCGAGTCATCGAACGTTGGAACCTGCTTCCAGAACATGTTGTCAAGGAAGCTCCGGTTAAAGGGCTTGAGGGGCAACTAGACGCTCTTGGGTGGAAACACGAAAGCTTTCCTTTTTCCTGACTAATTCCCATCTTCATACTTCGATTCTATTATTTTTACTTTTCCTCGCCATTGGTAGTATTCTCTTCTTTTAACTGATTTCTCCTACTCTGTTGGTTTTTTCTTCCTCACTTACTGCACGTAAATGATATAGCTGGGACAGCTAGTGTAAGGAACGTGGGCATTAAATTGGTGGATCAGGGTGTTTTTTCGGGTGTTTTCCTTTTAGACCCATCATGAAGTCGTAGCACCTCTACCAACTCCGGGATCGAAGACCCGCTCAAGAAGGATTACTTACGGGATTTATCCTATCCTTCCAGTCCACTTGAACTTGAACAACCGGCTCGACACCAGACCGCCTTGTAAGTTCCCGGGCTAACCTATGTATCCTGTCTTGCTTCATCTATCCGTGTCTTTTTGTAGCCCATCGGATACAGTCCGCTTTGTCCGACTTCAAGTGCCTTCTGATATCCGCGTTAACTTTCGCGCACCGTTTCGGACTAGTATTTACTAGTCCTAAACTCTGTATCCATGACTAGGGGAGTCCCACAAAGACTCTATCCTTGGGCAGTAACTTTTCAAGCTCTACCTTACTTACCTCCCTGCAGCACTTCTAGCCGAATGCTAAGTCAATGCTAATGATCTCAAACTATGGTCAAAACTAGCTAGTCTTGGGGATGCGGACAGACTACAAACGGCACTGAACCAGCTGCACAACTGGTCCGTCAAGTGGCAAATACCCTTTAACTACGACAAATGTGCTGTTCTTCCGATTAGTAACCCGGATACACCCAGTGTATACCATGTTGGTGGATATCTTCTCAAGAATATCATGCACGAAAAGGAGGAGGTGGTTATCCTGTCGCGTGACTTTTGAACTTTCCAAGAAACCCTGAGCAACGTCTCGGCCACAAACAGAATGCTGGGTGCTCTACGAAGATCGTTCTCTCGTATAAATCCGGCAAGTTTCAGAACTCTGTTCACATCACATATCTGCCCAATATTGGAGTATGCGCTTCCAGCTCGCCTAAAATCTGAATGTGACCTGCTAGAAAAAGTTCAGAGGCGTGGCTCGAAATCCGTCACGGAGTTACAAGATCTTGCTTATACTCTTTGACCTGAAGGCTGAACATATTTCCAACGGATTATCGTCGGCGCTGTAAAGATCTCATTTACATCAGACGGATCCTAAGAGGAGAACTTGGGAGTTAGGTACGAAAGCACTTTCGGCTCCACGTGGACGGATCGACATGAGGCCACAATTGGAAGCTGTAAAATAGCCGAATACTTCACCTTTGTCCAGGGGCTATCCTATCAATTCCTCTATTAAATGAGTGGAACCGTCAGTTGTCTATCATTTCTGATGAACTGACAGAGGAAAGTTTCAAACGGCTGCTTGACTGCCATCTGATAAGTACGGCAGGGTTCGGCTGCTCCTACTTCAACAAAGACCATCCCCAGAGGAAAGCCGCTTCGCAGCCAGTTGCGTCAAATCTGCACTGAATCGGAAACGACGGAGCTGACAAGGGTCTACCCTCTGGCTCTCTACATACTAACGAACCAATAAGCATCATCAATCGCGATGACTAAAATTACAATAATACTACAAGCTAAATCTCATAGCCTAAACAGCGCGGTGTTAAAATGGGTAATAATATCTAACCATTTATCATCATATTTTGAGCCAATCATTTCTTTTTTACTCTTTGCCTCTACGAGTGACCGAAAAATCATCAAATTGGACGGCTATCAGTTAATCAGCGTTGACAGTACCAGAATAAGAATCACCGTATTAGAAAAGCAAGCTTTAAACATGTGTCAGCTCAAGCATAAGCAATAAACAAACGACTAAGGCAGTACGTCGATCTCTGTGAAGCCACAATTTTGGTTCCTTAGTAACGCTCAAGCAATGGGTACAAACAAAAAACGCGGCATACTTCTAAGTGTTTCGGTCCATCAACGCTGATAACGCAGCAAGCACATATACACGAAAAGAAACGAGGTCGTATAGAGGTAACTATCTGACTAGGTTTAGCGGCGTATGTTAACAGAAGCTAAAACTTTGATAACACGCTAAATTTATTCACAGGTAGATAGGGAAAACGACTAAAAATTTTTATAACGCTTGCGGGTTGATATTGTTTGGCCAAGCAAAAATTCCCGTGTACAAAACCTTAATTAAGGTAAAACTTGAGACTATGAATTTCGCGGGTTTACAGTAGCAACAGCATAAAGGTTAGTGAAGTTGAAAAACACGTTCTTTGAACGCGGTAATATAAACAAGGTAAAATATACAGCTGTTTATACACACTCGTATATGAACAACAGAAACTTAATGCAACTACATCGTGCATACGCATAGGTTCACGTTCAAGTTCGGGTGTGCCTGGAGCGATAGTAGAATCGCGTGAGTGTTCCAACTTGCATGGATCGTTTAGTCAAGAATTCATGAAGTGCACCGACTTCTCGACGGATCTAAAGCGGTACACCCGTATCGCATCCAGGCCAACCAGTTAATACCTGCGTTTCCTGCCCCATCATTCCCTGCTGTGGCAGTCACGTGCAGTAAGCGAAGGATAAGCGGAGAACTCGAATGTACAGAATAAGGAAGCGCACTTGGCATAAGAAAATAATACCAAGGCATGAAGAAACGAACAGAAAAATAAATCGAGGTATGAAGATGCGAATTACTCAGGCAAGGGGGAAGGTTTCGTGTCACCCAAGAGCGTGAAGTTGCCGCTACAACTCCTAATACCGTAGACTGCTTGCTAACCCTTTCAGAAAGAGTGTTCCAGCTCTCGATGACTCGGCGAGACAGCCGGATTAGCGTCATAATCCCATCGGACGGCGGTTTGTCCAGATTTGTAGTGTACCGGAAAACACGCTCTTTCACTATTTTGCAATATTGGATTTTACGGTTGTTTTAACCCACAAAACGTCCATTTGTTTTACTGACGGCAAACCCGTTGACACAAATCGTTTTGACGAGTACTTCGTTGTACCGTTTCTCGCTCTGGTCGATTCGCTTCTTATTTTTGTAGCCCGCACAATATACGTTGGGTTCAGTTGCCTCCAACGTCTATACTGTCCCGTATTTGACACGTCTCTTACGTGTCATTGATTACCTACTGGTATCCCAGGCTCCACCCAACAAGTGGTGACCCCGGTCAAGAACGCTCCGTCCGGTATTTCGAAGTTCCATTTTGGTGAGCTCGTTCCAGTGACTATGGTTTATAACTCGCTATCTTATACTTTTTCCACTTGCCGCAAATACTTATACATTTCTTACGATGAATAGTCCTGATGATTAACCATCTACCTAAGTGGTTAGGGCCCAAGTGCTAGCCCCCACCTTTTTTGTAGAATGACCCGTTGTTGAGGTTTGCTTTTTGAATGTACTTTTTACAATTGTACACTTTCTTTTAGTAATTCTAAATATACTTAACTTAGGTTCCGATTTCGACAAAGTGTATCCTCCCAGGTGAGAGACATCATAGCTTGCACCCCCCAATGAGAAATATGAGACTTTAAAGCAGGCGATCATTCAGCGCATCACGCCCTCTTACAAGGTCTGACTGCGGCAACTGTTTGGGGATCTGCATCTAGGAGAAAAGATGTCCTCAACCTTGTTACGACAGATGCCAATCTCCCAGGCACATTTAACATGGACGCAGGGATTCTCAGCGAAGTGTGGATGCATAGCTTCCCTGAAAACAAACAGGCCATCCTTTCGACGGCAAGCGCCGTGCCACTCGCAGCATTTGTAGAACTAGCAGACCGTGTCATCGAACGACCTCAGCCAACGAACGAATCTAGGACATTCACTTGACTTAGCCCCGTCGCAGCCCCAGCGACAGCCGCGATTACTCAGCCGTCGGCCAGCGACACCATATCACCGCAAGTGTCGTCACTACAACGTCAAGTCGAAAAACGCTCCTTGGATCGTAAGCAGAGCAGCCGCTCGAGCTCAGCACCTCATCGCATAAAGTGCAAAATTTAGGCATTTGCTTTTACCACACACGTTTTGGTAACAGAGCTCTACGTGCGTGCATCCACGCATTTTTTCCGCCGCAGAGCTGGAAAACTTTTAGGCCGGCATGTAATGGCGACTAACAGTGCCTGTAAAGCCCATAGTCGCCACGTCTACCTTCGGAATAATGTTTCCGGGACCCAGTTCTTAGTTGATACCGGAGCGGACGTTAGCGTCACACACTCTATGCCAGATGAACCTATCGCCGCCTTGTCGACAAGCCACAGTGTCGCCAATGGCAAGCCAATGACATCGGTCACTTACCCTGGACCTAGGTCTTCGGCGCATGTGCCGCTGGGTATTCCTGGTTATTGCAGTCCCCTTTGCCATCATCGGTATTGACTTTCTCAGGCACCTCAAACTCTTGGTCGATGCGAAACGCTAGATGCTAGTCGAAATTGTAACAAAACTACGTGTATGTGGCATCATCGCCGATATCACCTCTATAACAGGTCTACGCTTTTCCTCAAACCTGGCCAGACAACGCCAACCTCTTTGCTCAGTATTCCAAGCTCGTTCAGCGAATGAACGCTGCTTTGCCCGTGGCATCCCAAGTCATGTACCCCATACGGACGAATGGTCCCGTCTCATGCTGTCCACATCGACTATTGCCCGAGAAACTAAAGGTAGCCAGAGCGGAGTTTGAGCACATGCTCGAACCAGGAATAATCCGCCCTTCAACCAGAACTTGGTCCTCTTCCCTGCAAAAGATCCTCAAGCAATCTGGTGACTGGCGCCCTTGCGGTAGTTAGCACGCACTCAATCGGCTAACCGTCCCAGTTAGGTATCCCAACCCACACATGCGGGACCTTACCGCATGCCTCACAGGTAAGACGATTTTCAGCAGGATCCATCCATGCTATTCAGGTAGACCGGGCTCAGGCGGCCTTGATATAAACTTCAGAACCACTTCGAGGCTTAAAAAATACTAAACTGTATATTCCTAGTGGTTTATGTGGCTCAGTATCCACCGAAAATGTAATGCTGAGGCCTTCTAACCGTGGGTTTATTATAAACTCTCCTGAATAAACATGCAGACATAAGATTCCTTACTGGATTTCTAGAGTTTTCGCGCAAAAGTACAGCTTATTCGCATATATTTGCCAGGTATGCCTGCAAATTGTACTTTCGGCCACCTACGAAGTCCCTAGTTGTTGCGGGGTATTACGGGCTATTTAGAACATTTCTAAATTGCTGTAACTATTTAGAACGAATACCGTTTCGCTAATTTTTACATTTTCTTTTTCCTGCTATCTGCTTGCAAATCAGAAAGCCATTTTTAGCGAAAAAGTATAATAGCGTTATCCGTAGACTTCCATTAAATTGTAAATAACTCGCAAACTACCGCACTTATTGCATTGTTTTATACTTTCAGCTTAATCAGCGGTTAAAACTTGTCCTAGGCAGCTTATCTTTTACTACTTTACGCAGTATTCCAGCCTTAGAAAAGGTTTTTCTTGGAGTTACTCAGGCTGAAATTTTGCGTCAGAAAGCAACGTTAGCGCAAGCAAAGTTTGGCTACATTTTTTGTCAATTTGGATTTTTCTAGTAACGCACACCGCCTTAGTATGTCCGTTAACCAATCCTTTGTATTTTCGTCTGCATTTCGCGATATTACTTTTTAACTTTTCTTATCCCTTATAATTCCGCCACTCTCTTTTCTTCCATGTGCTCACCAATAATTATGGCGACTGAGGGGGGCATAAAAGTCCAATGAATTATAGGGAAGTTGTGGTGAAGTAGATCCTGTTCCAAAGGAAAACGGCACAACTACAGCTCAGCACAACTTTTAAAGAACAGAAGAACACGGAGCTTAATATCGCCCGAAGGAACCAGAAAAATTTCATAGTGGGCGCCTGCGACACTACCAGCTGTACAGCAGAAAATGCCAATGCATTGTAATTGCCAACTATGAACATACACCCGTATTTTGCCTACTTCCATGCAAGAGTATAGGATAATATTAAAGCTTGACCTGAACCCTTAAGAGTGCGGCCTCTAGTAAATCTAGAAACATACCTATTTATTTATTTGTTTAAAAGCCATGGTTCCTTTTGAAGGTTATAGTTTTATGCGTGTCTTGTAACTATTTAACAGAATTTCAACGTCTCCTTTGCATTGATGCATTACGAGTCCGTGCCTTGGTCTGGAAGCAGCTGCAGGTTAAGACCTAAAAATGATTTAGCGATTAAAATGGCCAAAAGCTACTGTGGTCGCATTGTTGCAAAACGATAGAACAATCTTACACCAAGTTATGCATGACGCACCCTTGCTCTTTCTGTTGGGGAACCCAATTTTTCTAGTTGATGAAGATATCCGGTCACGCTAGGTGGTAGCAATGCCAGATGTGTTCCATTAAGCGGTTTCACAAGTAGGCACCCCTAGTTGTCAAATAGAAGTTAGAGACTTCCATACACTCTTTAGGCCTCAGCAATCATGCCGTAATATCTTTGTATTACTTTCATCCGATCTGACAAGCATTCAACGCAACTTGGACGTGCACCAGCAATTTTGACCGGCAAAGGTAGCATTATGACAGACGCCCAAAGGTTTTTTAAGTAAGTAGCACTCCTTACTTTGAACTTAAGTCGGGCCACTTTAACTATTGCGGCACAAGCCCGCGGCTGTCGAGCTGAGTTGCAACGACTGACTGTGCACAATACCAAGTCTATGTGTGAAGAGGTTGCTAGTGAACAAATATTCAAGGCACGATATGCGTGATGGGCTACAAAGTGACCGTGCCTTTGGTCCAACTTGATGGCACGGGTTAACCTTATGGAAGACGGGAGAGTAGGACGAATGTGGCCATTCTTCGCACGGGCGGGTCAGATGCAGTCTGCTGATAGCCAGAAGCCTGCTTAAGGGTAAAAAGCATGACGTCTAGCCAACATGTGATCTGACAATGACATAACTTGACCTTGACCTAGACGCAGTAACTGAAATCTGACATGCCTTACTAACGAGCTTTTTAGATAAAAACCGGTGAAAAACAGTGT